TGTGTGTGTGTGTTCTTTCAGAGGAGCGATGCCTTTAGCACCAAATATTTTGCAATTTTGCAATCTCAGTCTCAATTGGCCACTTGTGCATTTACCATGGTTACAGAGACTGGGATGTGCAAGGCAGGGACATTCTGTTGGCTTCCTTTCATCCTCTCTCTTCTCGCTCTTTTTCTTTCTTCACAGTGTTATAAAGCCCTGTCTAGTGTGATTTCTAACTTCTAATCCCTCTTAGTTTTTTTTTTGTAATTTTTGCTTAGTCTTTCTCTTTCTGATACTTTACCTTATTCTGTAACCGTGGGTGACCAGTTGCGGTCTGTCCACAAACTGACTCACCTAAGTGTAAACATTTGCAGGGACAGGAGGCAGGGCTGATGGGATTTAAAATACCCTCGTGAAGACAAAGACAGTAGTTACAGAAAATCGCATACAAAATATGTATGTATATGTATTGGCATATGTAATACACACAAAGTTAAAACAGCAGAAAAACATCACAATTAAAAAGTTTATTATTCATTTGGCATTGCATTGGTAGTTCTAGACAGACAGTCACTGCTCCAGATTTGTTAGTCGTTGCCCTGAACGGCCAGTTTTAAAGCTTTCTTCCTAAGGTGGTTAAGCTGAAGTGCTTCATTTACAACTGTGGGATTTCTTTGTATTGTCAGCAGGCTGTCAGTTGTGGAAACACTGAGGCATATTATTAAAATTTCACCTATTTTTACACCTCAGGCTGTTCATTTTTCATTAAAGTTTTTCAGAATGTACTTTTTATGCTAAAAGACGGGGAAAATGTTTCAAGCTGTTTTCTTTTTTTTACCTTTATGCAGTAGTTTTACTCATCCGGCACACTTCAGATCAAACTGGGCCGCATGTGACCCAGCTAAAATGAATTTGACATCCCTGCTCTACTTAGTGTCTCTCCTTATTCAATACCAACGTTATTTGTTTTTTTTTTAAAACAAGCTTTCATAGAGCGACTGTGTTATCTTCCTGTTTTTACGTGTTTGCAGTCTGTCTCCCTTCTTCAAAGTACGCCGTGTGCACTGACTCATCTCCCACTCTCCACTCTCTCCTTTCATAGATGCAGAGTGTCATGTATGAGCTCATGTCCGAGCTCAACGACCGCAGCGAGGACTTGGAGCGTCAGATGCTGTCCCTGGAGCAGCGGGTGGAGCAGCTCACGGCGGGCTTCAACGCCTTGCCCGCTCACCTGTCTGCAACCCTCAGCGCCCAGCATGCTGCCCTGGTTCACCTGCTCCGGGAGAGGGATGCAAGGGATGGTAGAGGAGGAGGAGGAGGTGCTGTGGTTCCACTGTCCCCTGCAGCTTCTTTAACCACTGCGCCAGCTTCAGTTTCTCCAGTCCAGGTCACAGCTCCTGCACCACCTTCAGCTCCGGTTTCTACTTTGGCGTTGGAGTCCCCTCTGTCGCCCCCACCCCTGAGCCCAGAGGGGAGCTTGGAGGCTAGCTCCAACCCCAACACGTGCACCTCTAGCTGCTGAGGACAGCTTTTTTTTTCTTTTCTTTTTTTTCTTGGACCAGGAGAGGACAAATATGAGGAAAAACAGGGAGGAAGGACGGGGGCTGCGCTAGTCCTCACACTTCAGACTAAAGGAGAGAAATGGGAGATGAGAGAAATGTCTGGTGATCCTCGGAAACTAACGCTCCAAGAGGGAGGGAGGAAGACTATGAGGAGAAATAATGGGATTAAGATGGAGGGCCTGTATGAGTGATGAGACATGTTAGGGACTTTGGGGCGCTTTACTTGATGAGGGAAGGAGAAGAAAAATGGGGATAAAATGGAGACTCTAAAAGGTGTGAGGGGGAGGAAGGATGCCAAGAGGGTGAGAAATTGAGGTAGAGAGAATGAGGAGGACGAAAGAGAGAGGAGGAGAAATAACGAAGAATAATTATATGAACTCCTAAATGGAATCCACTCCAATTACTGAAGAATGCCTTTTATTATCTCTATCTCTCTCTCTTCTACGTCTCTCTTTCTCCCTCTCTTTCCTTCCCCCTTCCCAATCTCTCACTCCCGTCATCAGGAATTAATGACCATGACTTTTTATCCTTATGATGTATTTTCTATCTGAATGCTAATTGTGTATTAACGAGCATCCCTTTAACAAAAGGTTCGATCAATACGACCACGATTTAAAAAAATGAAAAATAAAAAAATAAATAACTAGTGGCATGCACCACACACACACACACACACACACACACATACACACACAAATCATGTCATCCACGCAATATGAGCTAACACAGCACAAACACAAACATACAGACTCTCACAAAGGCCCTATTTACGCTCACACATAGAAAATAATGCACTAGCCCACAAGATGATACTAAAAGCCAATACTGCCAAGCACATGATGCACTGTCAATCTCCATAGAGCACTGCCAAGCGATGTAGACACACTGTAAAAAATGTTCATCTTAACAATTTATCTTTTGTGGGTGTGAGCTGATGCAGTAGTTTAGACTTACGATGCGTAGTTGTGACATTTTAACTACTCAGCCGGGAGAATTGTAACCGTTCAGTGAACTACACAAATTATAGATCAAGCTGAAACAAGCTGATACAGAGGGACGTGAGTCATCATAATGTCTGTTTGTGATGATGAAGACAGTAGCTGATGGTAAAATAACCTAACACAACTACTACAGGACTTTATTACTGCATTTACAGAATTACAGATTGAAACGAACTGATGTTTAAAGTGTACTTTGCTGTGCTGAAATGAGACTGTGGTCTTGTTTCATTTCTGTGGACGTTTCGTATGACAGCAGCAGAAGGTGGACAATTAATAGTTGTATTAAGTGCATTAATACTGGGGCGGCTATTAGAAGAAAAATTAGCTTATTTTACACATATTTTTTGTACTGGCATTTAAAAATGGTTGATTGATTTCTGAAGATACCCGTTAAAACAAACGCTGCAGAACTCTAAAGTTGGCTCTTTGCACAATCTTGATGCTCCACATTTAGTGCGAGTACTCGTTTAATGCCACTAAATTTGGATGTTTTGACCCAAAGATCTACAGCAGATGCGGTTCGGTCCACAACTTGTTGTCTTTTTGTCTCTCCATGCCACCACAGTGGCTTAGAAATAAAACTAAAAACTAACTTTAAAAAAATGCATTAACTGTTTAAGAATTATCCACATTTGTATACACATTCCCTCATTTTCAGAGGCTCAAAAGTATCTTGACAATTGACAAGCAGCTTCATAGCTAGGTGGGGCCTGTTGCCTTGTTATTCCATGACATGATTCAAAGAGTGGAATTTCTATTTCATAGTTGTTCATGGTCATTCCAAGTGAGGGAGGTCGTCATTAGGCTTAAAAATTCAAAATAAGTCAATAAGTGTCAACTGCTGAGTGGCCATTCTTGAAAAGGAAGACAACAGAAAACAACTGAAATGGATGATGAAAGAATGGCTAAAAAACAACTTCACAGCATCTAACTGAGTCAAAAAAAAAAAAACTCTCACCAGGATGTACAGTAGGTGTATCACTGTCAAAGTCTACATCTGTAAGTTTGTAACTGTTAATCCAGAGGGTTTACAACAAGCTGCAAACCAGTGGTTACGCTTAAGAACAAGTAGGTTAGATTATACTTCCTAAAAAAACATCTAGAAATTAATATTTAAATAAAGATGAGCCTGTGGCAGAATTATGGGAAGAAAGAAGTAAGGAGAAGGAAAGAGAGAAACACCTATTGATTTGAAGATAACACATTATCTGTCAGAAACAGTGGGAGAAGTGTTGGTGGAACCCCATCACTAGTGTTTACTGATGGCGTGACTAACAGAAGTGGCAGGATGAATTGTAAAGTGTACAGGGCTGTACTCAAAAAGACACGGAGTATTCGTCAATGACCAAGTTATTCACCTGATCTCAGCCCAACGGAGCAGCTTTTCAGTTACTGAAGACAAAAACTGAATGCAGAGAGACCCACAAACAAGCAGCAACTGAAGGCAGCTCCAGTAAAAGCCTGGCATCTCAAGAGAGGAAACACAGCATGTAGTGATGTCCAAGGCTGCAAAGGATTTTCATTCAAGTATTTAGAACACTCCTTACTTTTAAAATCATGTTAGTTTGTCCAATTAAAGTTTGAGCCTTTGAAAATGGGGGACTGTGTCTAAACAGTTAATGCAAAAACAGGAAAGCGCTGTGAGTCAAAGCTGAAAGTCTGCACTTCAATCACATCCTGATTACTTGGTTTAAAATTCACTGTGGAGGTGTACAGAGGCAAAATCACAAAAGTTGTCTCTTTATCCAACAAATTATGGGCCTAACTGCACTGAAAACAATGAAAACAATTTTAACAAATCCTTTACTTGACTAAAGTCAGACCGACCTACATGCAACTCTATAAATATTGTCTGTCATTGGCACTTGTTAAAATCCAGCAGTGATTTAGCTGTATTTCTCTAAGTTGTTTTTATTAGTTGATTTTTTTATGACCTTTCATAAAGGGAAGTAGATCTTGTACTTTACTGCCATTCTTTGTCAAACTTGTGGTCCGAAAAACAGCTCACTGTTATCATGAATGTATTCTGTGTGAAGAAATACACTCAAACTCGCTTGCTCAGTCACTTAAACTGCCACACAGACACAGGAACAGACACCCACATGCGCACGCACACACACACACACACACACACACACACACACACACACACACACACACACACACACACACCTCGACAACCAAAGTGCTCTCTCTTAAATGGACTTCAATAAGAGGCAGGGAACGCTGCTGTCACTGGGGACAAAAGATAGCAGGAGGCGTTGCAGATATCTTGACAATATTGCTGAGGGAATAACTGTGAAAATCTCGGCATGGACTTGTTACAGTGCTGTACATGGACTGCTGTAACAGATGAAGGTGGACTAAGGATGAACACAAGGGAACACAAATAAACCTTACAAAGGATAAATGGCCATGAAGGAACAGATGTTCATGAAATAAATAAAATGAAAGACTGAGATATATCTGAGAGGAATTATAATGACGTGATGGGAAAAGAGACAAGCCTACCTTTACATTGGAGACAATATTGAAAACTATCTTTTAGCGACACGCTGTGGCCGGAATACTGAATTACATACGCTTGGAATATTGTACAGTATGCTGTTAACGAAATATAGCTTTGTATTGCTTAGTCTTTTCTACCATTATGATTAAAAGCAGTTATAGCTGATATCTTACCTTATTAAACTATAGTATTCTTCTCATTCGTCATGACAATTATAATATATGTATTATCAATACGTTAAATAATCACGAACAAGGAAAGTGCCGTTTGAGGTTGAAATTATTTTGTAATTTTATTTTATCAGAGAGAATTAATAAAGTATATATCTATAACATTACAGCTTTCATGTTTAATGAGTCTAAGTTTTTATTTTATTTATTTTTTATCATTTATTTATTTCGTTTGTATGCTTTTTTCGGGTACTTCATATTCCTCGGGGATTCATGTAATTTTAAAACAGCTGTAAACACTAACTCACCCTGTAGAGATTATGTTTTGTTCAGTAATTTATTAAATATATAAATACTGTAGGAGTTTTAAGAATTGCTACCACGTTTTATTTATTTTTCTGTTGTCTTTGTATCTTTCACTGTCAAAAGGGGGAAAAAAGTCTCCCCCAACTTGGATTTCAGCGTTTCTCTCGCTCATTCTCGCGATGTTTGGAAACAACGTTGGACAGTAACTTCACGCTGTCTTTAAGCACAGGGGCACACCTCTGGGGGGGCAGTAGAGAGCTAGAAGTTTGTCTGTTTTATTAAAATGGGCTTTTTTTGTGGAAGCTTTACGCTAGCTAAGTCGTCCATTTGTTAAGTCCTTTAATTATATAAGTATTGATCGGCTAACTTCAGTATGGTAAGATGCTGCAAAATTAAGCTACTGTGAAGTACCCCATTATAACCAGGCACACTTTTTAGCAGTATATTTTGCTTTCTTGGGCTAGTTGAATACTGTTAGCTTGCCAAATTACGGTGACATTATCAGTCGTGTGTAAAAAATTATGTTTTTGATGTCACAATACAATATTAATATGATTAGAGGTGGCTTGTCTACTTAGAAAAGTACTCACTGTTATTAAAACATACCGGATTGGTACTGAAGACAAAATATGTACTGTGGCATAACGCAAAGTCATTCACTGGGTTTTAATAAAGTTAGTGGGCGTTGTGATATATGACTTTGAATATATGTGAATCCAATTCTAACTGAGAGGACAGTGTTTGGAAGAAAAACCAGAAAGAGACATGATGTATTAGTGGGTGGTGAGTGGGTGTGTAAACATTCAGTGTCCAGTCTTTTCCAGTGGCCAAGCCTCCCTCTATTCATTATTTCTCTGTGTGAAGCAGGTCCTCCTTTCTGCTTTACCAGTGTCCTCTATGCTGGCACCAACAGCATTATAAATGAATGTGGGATTCTGGTGAGGGTAAGTATAAACTGTTGTTTTATTTCTTTCTGTGGTTTAACCCAAGTAAAGTGCCACATTTAATATTGTCATCCAGGTAATAAGGGCTACAGCTGTAACCCTCATTCATTCGTACATTTTTTTGCATTCAGCACGAATACATAATGGGTTGTCTCTTACTTTAGATTGAGTTACAATTAAAGTACACAGAAATGTTGTTCAATTTCAATTCAATAAAACTTTATTGATCCTGAAGGTTGACCCCGCAGGAAATTGGGTTATGTTGTATGTCGTACAACAGTATGTAGTATTACAGCCACATTGTAAATGTGCAGGTCAGAAGTTTTCATACATTCATCATGGGCATGAATGTTATGACAGTTTGAGGCTTTTAATGATTTACTTGAACATTTCTCTTTTCAAGGTGGAATGATTGTATAGCACACGTCTTTAATGACTTAAAAAAACAATCAAATGTTAGAGTTAAAAGTATGCATACGGACTCAAATACACCCTATTAATATTTGGTAAATTGTCCCTTAGGAAGTCTAAGGAGCTTGGAAAGAAAAGTGTCTGGACTTTAAATTGCTTGAAGACGTTTCACCTCTCATCTGAGAAGCTTCTTCAGCTCTAGGGTCAAATGGTGGAGAGTCCCAGATTTAAACTAGAACTGAAGAAGCTTCTCGGATGAGAGGTGAAACGTCAAGCAACTTAAAGAAGTCCAGACGCTTTTCTTTCCAAGCTCCTTAGACTACGATGACCTGGATGACTTACACCTCAATCAGATGCTTTTGGTAGCCATCAGCAAGCTTCTGGCATAATGCTGTCTGGATATTTGATCATTTTTCTTGACAGAATAGAACAGTGCATTTAAATTGGTTCATTTCCTGGTGCAGATCTGGCTTTTAAGCCTAGTCCACAAATTTTTAATAGCACTGAGGTTGGGGCTTTGGGAATGCCGTTCCAGATGCATTATGTTAGCCTTCTTGATCCACTCCAAAGCCAGTTTTGACATGTGTTTGGAATCAATGTCCTTTTGGAACAAACAGCTGTGTCCAAGTTTCATCTAGCTGTTGATTTAAGAGTTGAAGAATTTGGAGGTAGTCCTCTTCCATTTTGCTGTCAACTTTGAGCAGTGTCATAGGGAACAAAGTAGCCCCAGAGCACGATGCTACCATCACCATGCTTCACCGTGCTTCTTAGATTTGAAAGCCTCACCATTCAGATCCATAAGGACAAAAAAACTAACAGACTAAGGAACAGCTTATATCCCTTAGCCATCACTATGCTAAATGCTGCTAAATTAATATGATCCAATATAATCTTTGTGTATGATGTTTACAGTGTTACAACACAGTCTCATATTTACATGTTTACAACTGTATTTTACCACTGGTACAGTAATACTGGCAAATGGGGACTAGTGCAATATGAAATCAATTGTGTTTGTTGTTTCTAAACATATATACACACACACACATATATATATACACTGAACAAAAATATAAACGCAACACTTTTGTTTTTGCTCCCATTCCCCATGGGATGGACGTAGAGACCTAAAATT